GTAGAACGTGCGGTCATTGTTGTTTGTGTATTTTTGGGGCAACGTGAAGTCTAGATACAGCGATGATGATGATGACGGTACGATAGATTTTGGGGAGGATGGATGGAGGTAGTGAAATGAGGGAAAGGAGGGTAATTGAAAATGAGAGCAAGACTAGGGAGACGAGGTGCGGGGGCGGACGAGAGGGAGACAGAGAGGGAGATGAACTCAAGGCCCACCAGCACCATGATCATGGAGTTTGCTGCACGGTGCAACTGGCGGGAAAAGGGAAAAGGGAAATGAATAAATGAATGAATGGATGAATGAATGAATGAATGAATGAATGACAAGTGAGGGATTTGTTTTTCATTTCATTGGAAAAATGACGACGGGCTTGAGATATTATTTTTCTCTTGAGATAAGATTTTTCTCCAAGTAGTAATAATCGGCGAGTACTAATAATCGATAGGTCCGAATTAATTGATCGGTGCAAGGCCTATTGATTGACGCAAATCAACTGGTGGGTGCAAAGTCACCGATCAGTGCGAAAAAATTGATTGATCGCTTTAAATTGATTGATTGATTGATTGATTGATTGATTGATCGGTGCAAATTAGTTGATCAAATAACTGATCAAAATAGTTAAGTTGATCTGTGAAAAAATAATAATTGATCGATTTTAAATCAATCGACCAATGCAAATGAATTGATAAATGACAGTTAATTAATTGAGCGGTGTAAGTTGATCGATCCATGTTCCAGGTCAGCGGTCTCAGAATAATCCATAATAATAAAGAGTCCATCCGGATCCAGACTTGCAGAAATGATTGGATAAGACCAATCGGTCGATTTTCAATCCATTGATCCATCGAATGTGGTCGTCAATCAAGATGGATCCAAATAGATAGATAGGTTGATCGCTTCTGGATAAATCAAGAGGCTTTTTTTAATTTTATTTTATTTTATTTTAACAGTAATGACGATAGACCACTGCGAAGTGATGTGCTTACCCTGTGCAGACAGCCAGGTGCTGGCCATGCACCTGGCTGTACTGTAAAGGCAGGTACGCTCTCCATGGCCTATTTGAGGCAATACGTTCCCACCAGGGTGGTCTATCTTTTGTGTCATCTCCCCAATGATGATATAGTATTTTACTGTAAGGGAGGGAGTGAAGGAGGGATTCATCCATCCCGATCGATTCTGATTCCAATCCAGATCCATCAAGCGGTCCCGATTCGAGTCCTGATCCATTGATTCATCCAGAATCAAATTCGGAGTCATTTATCGATCTATGAAGGAAGGATAATTGCTGCCGTTTGCCAAAGTATAGTAAGCTCTATATTAGAAGACGAGAACAAAAAATAGAACAGGGGTAAATTTCAAAAATAGCGCGTCCCGGTGGTTTCACAGCAAAATTCACAGCAAAAATATGGGCGGGGCCCAAATTTCATGTTTGGTTCCAAAAATACTATATCTTTCGTTGTTGCAGCTTTAGAGTTCCCGGTAGTTCCACAGCACCAAAAATACTATATCTTTCCTTGAAAAAAAAAAAGATCTTTGAACCTTTCGGACCCGTATAACATTTCTGGTGCGAAGCTCCCAAAACGCGCTATTTCTGCAATTACACCCCCCCCCCCCAAAAAAAAACAGTATAAAAAATATGGTACGTGCCAGTCTTTAGGGGTTTATAATTTGTACTTTGGCGAACAACTACAACCTTTTTTTTTTTTTTTTTTTTTGGGGGGGGGGGGGGGGGGCAACTACAATCATCTCTCTCTCTCTCTCTCTCTCTCTCTCTCTCTCTCTCTCTCTCTCTCTCTCTCTCTCTCTCTCTTGCACTTGTGCGCGCGTCGGTCTCCCACACGTACAGGACCTTGCCCCGATCTCTTCGTGACCCTAGTAAGCCTTCAAAAGTGGAAACGATATTTCAGGGGATTTAAAAAAGAAGTAGAAATAGACAAATCCTGATCCGAAGCCAGATAGGTTAATCTAGTTTTTTTAAGAAGCCTGGTCCGAAGCCTGATCCGCAGCCAGATCGGTTAGTGTAGGCTTTTTTTTTAATCCTGATCCGAAGCCAGATCGGTCAATCTTGGTTTTTTTTTTTTTTTTTTGGAATTATTTTATTATTTTGATTTCATGTATTTAATCCCATTTGGATTGAATTTCGAGCTCAGGAGTGAAAATTTCAATTGTTCACGGGTGTACCAGCTGCTGCTGAGACAGGCCCGTTGGTGTTTAATCCAGTTTGCAAGTGCGTCGTACAAAAATCCATACTAAGTCTTTCTTAAGTCGTTCTCCAAGCTCCTTCATATGGCCTCGGCGGAGAAGTTGGGAGTCGGCTCTTACAGTATCCTTCTTCGACCTGAAGTATTACAAAATACTAAAATGAGAAATGAAACGGAATGAACTAGGAATGAGCACCTCAATGCTCAATGTCACGGTTGTCACCTCATTCCTCCGACCATAGCCTGTCGTGTGGCTCGCCAATCATTAGGTTGGAAAAATTTGGTGACGAAATTTACAATGAATTCAGTATTGAAAAATATTTTTTTTTGGAGGAAGCTCAAAATGTAATTCTTTTTTTTGTGGATTTTTATTTGTAGTCCGTTCCTTCAAATTCGTTCGTTAATAATCCGGAATCGTCCTTAGATCTGTGCGGATCGGATCGGTTGACCCAAACCAAACACTGAACTTTGCCTTGGATTCGAATGATGGGGAAAACAATTTGGTCATATAACCTGTTCGGGTATATCTTATCAATAGACAGAATCTACATACTATTAGATGAGATCCATCTGGAGATGACCGCACTGGTCTATATTTCTGGACGTTTATCTGCATTTTGATTTAGATACACATTTTTTAATTATTGCAAAGGAAAGATCACAATGGTCGCCTCTAATCAAAGGGAGAGAACACGGAAGGAGGAGGGATCATCGCATCTATCATACTAGAATTGCTTAGACCGAGTCAGGACTTAAAGAACGCGGAACATTGAAGTCCCCTCCGGAATCACGAGAGTGGAGATGAGATGAGATGAGATGAGATGACGAGGAAGATCAACGAGATCGACCATGGTTAAAAAAAAAAACGTGTGCCACCACGTGGAATGTGGAGATGATATGATATGAGATGATATGATATGAGATGAGATGAGAGGAGAGGAGATGAGATGAGATGAGATCGGATGAGATGGGATGAGACGGTGAAGAAGACTCCGGAGAAGATGAACTATGACATGACACGTGTCACTCATATAGACTTTTGCTGACATGCCTTAACGAGTCTGAGAGCAGATGTAATAAACACAGTCACTTGAATAAGATAAGCTGTGCGTGCAGGTGAGACATATTCAGATGAAGTATAATTATTAATTAGATTAATTAATTAATTTATTATTACGGACAATTTTTATTATTTTTCTCTCTCCGTTCTTTCCTTATTCCTTTGCTCTCCTCTTTCCCTCCCCCCCGCCCTTTTTTTTTTCTTTCTTTAAAAACAGGGCAACCACCTGTTTTGCGATATATCACTGTAAAGCTGACCGGCCCCAGGATATCCAAGACATGATTTTTTCTTTATCTAGTAATTCCATCGGGGTTCGAACTCATAATATCTGCTTTTCAACATTTTATGGGTGTACCAACTGAGCTAGGCTGGCTTGTTGGTATACGGAGGTCCATTTCTCGATTTTTGAGTAGTAAGCGTCATAAAGGGAGCCATGCTACTGAATCTCCTCTGTATCGTTCCCATTTTCTTTTGTTTTTTTTTGTTCTAGACTTCCAGTCATTCCACTTCAAATTTTAATTAATGTACTGTATGCCACGAAGGGCGGAAGGTGCATAGTTTTAATGCAAAATAATTTTAGTTAGAACATGAGAGGACAGAAAGAACAGACAAACCATACAAACAAACAGTAAAAAGAAAAAAAGAAAAAAAAAAAAGCTTCATCTTCCTGAAATGATGGATGGCATTGGAGCTCTACTTTGCAAATGGCAAATGGTAAATGTCCGATGCGTTTGGACTGGCCGCTTCAATCAGGCGTCAGGAGGGAAGTACTCACTACTTTGGTGCTCAAACAACGAATTTCGAATTTTCAACATTCCTTCCAAATATAAAATGGATATTTATTTATTGGAATGATCACTATAACTACAAAGTTCCCCCGAATACAACGTACGGTCATTATAGCCGAATTTGGGGTATCTTTCAGTATAAATACAGCTATAATGACCGTACGTTGTATTCGGGGGAAGAAGGTAGGCTCGTTGCTATAGAACAAATTCTTTAGAATGCTTTGCAATCATTCTTGAGACCCGTTACTTTCGGGCAAATCCATCATAATTTTGAATTTTTGAGTGCCTCTGGACCATTGCCGTCAGCCCTAGATAGATTAAAAGTGTTTTTTTTTTTTTTTTTTTTTTTAAGTGTTCTGAAGTGGAGTGAGGTGGGTTTTTGAATATTAAGGGACTGTGATCAGAGAGTAAGGTCAGATGGGGAGCGCACCGGACTCCACTGCTTACACACCGCACTACTCACAACCGCCGCTTGTGTAAAGCGGGGAGTGCATCTGCATCTAAAAGGTGGAAAGATACAATTGACTTGTTCTTTTTTTTTCACATTTGGTGAGCCGTGCTGTGAGGCCCTGAGGGATTGGGATGGGGGGCCAGTGGATGGAAACTTCCTCTGGGAAAGTTTTTTTTTTTTTTTTTTTTTTTTTGTAACTGCTTTTCCATGTGGTATGTTTTGTTTGCAGGAGTTGATGGGAGCTGGCTGGCTCAGTATGGCTTCTATAGATGGGTGGAGAGAGAGAGAGAGAGAGAGAGAGAGAGAGAGAGAGNGAGAGAGAGAGAGAGAGAGAGAGAGAGAGAGAGAGAGAGAGAGAGAGAGAGTCGCCTTGTTTTATTTTAATTTAGTGGGTTTCTGACCCTGTGCTGATCATTCGTTGGGATAAATTAGAGAGAAGATAGGAGAGGGGAGGGTAGAGCTTTGATCATGCGATAGGAGGTTGCGAGTGAAATCGAGCCTCATGCAAAGACTGGGCAGAATGTATGTACTCAACCATCTGCATTGGTGAGAAAATACTAACTTAAGCGGCCGAACAGCGCTGTTGAGAACTGCTCAGAGGTCTTTGCTTTCTAAGTTAAAAAAAAACTACCAACTGTTGAGTCTGTGTTGACAGAGCATACGAGAGGAAGACTGTGGCTTTTGGAGTTTTTACAACTTTCCAGTTATTAGGAGATGAATTCAATTTGGCTTAATATAATAAGAGGAATAGAGATAATTGGCGTATTTGGAAAAGTAAGTAGAAGTAAGTCTCCAGTTTGTGCGGAGGCCATTGGAGAGGGCAGGGAAGGAGGCAAAGCACCAGCAGCACCCAGCTCGTTAGAAGTGGAGCGCATGACAAGAAGTGAAGAACCATGGGTGATGGTCATGAGGTGCAACTGCGGCTGTCCAAGTTCGGGAGGAAGGGACAAGATATTTTGCCAGACCGTTGTTGTGATGAGTGGCTGTGGATCAATTTGCATCCTCGTGAGCCTTGGCTCATATTCTCACCTGATTTGAAATCGCTTCTTCAAGTGTGGAACTATGAAGATGGGAAATGGGTGGCCTCCTGGGTAGTCCCTGGCCGTGTGGATGATTTTGTTTTTGAAGCTGGATTCATCCCGCAGAAAGATAATTGGATTGTGGTGAGGCGATGGAAAATGTATGAAGTTTATGAATGCCAAGACTCAAACTTGCGGCGTCTAACGCAACTGCAAACAGAAACTGGTGACAGTTACTACACATGGAAAATGGCTGTCCATCAAAGCCTCCCTTGCCTTTTGGCAAGTTTCATGCACAAGGATTTTTTTCTGTGGCACTGGAGGGGCAAATGGGAGAAGACAAAGTTTGGAGGTCATAAAAAAAGTATAACTGAATTGGTGTTTCATCCGACTGAGACACAGATCTTTGCAAGTGCCTTGGCGGATGACATCATCAAAGTGCGGAATTTGGAGAAAAGGTCTATTATTCAAAACCTGACCGATGTTGGTCAAGGGAATATCTGCAGGATGGGATTCTGTGGTGGAGGGGAGAGATCACTTCTGATCACTTCCCACTGGGGAGACCAGAATGTACGGGTGTGGGACTACAAGAAGGGAAGTTGCATAGCACAATGGAAAACACACGATAAATGCCTCAGGGTGTCCTTCTTCCATCCGCACTTGCCGTATATAATGACTGCAGCAGAGGATGGAGAGATTAGAGTTTGGAGTGAGTCAAGCTACCAGCAAGTGTCCTCTCTTTCCATTGAATGCCATAAGGATGGGATTCTCAGCATGATCCCAAGTAAAATCTCAAGTAAGCTCATTGTTGCAGGTAAAGGTGAATTCCATGTCGTGGAGGTTGAAACAGGAAAGGACGAAAAGGAAAAGGAAGAGCAGAAGAAAAAGGGGTCTCCTTTTGCAAAAGATTTTCAAACTTCTTCTGCGGCAATGGCCATTGTCGATGAAGCAGCAGTGGTATCAAGAAAGGCAATGGAAGAGATTGAACACAAGGTGTCCGGCAATGTCAAGCTGCAGTTTGAAGAGAGAATTAAGGAGGTGGTAGGAATGGTTGAGCAGAACTGCAAAAAAGCAGTTGAAGCAGTGATGGCAGAGCATCGGACAAAGGAGAGAACCCAAGCGGAGATAGTGCAACAACTCCAGAGCGAAATACAAACAATGATGAGGACATGTGAATCATCAAGACCGCAGATGCAGGAGGTGCAGAGACTGACACAGAGGGTCCAGCAGTTGGAGGAAGAGATTCAAACAATGACAGGCAGATTTGAAACGTCCAAACAGAGGGTTCAGGAGGTGGAGCAAACACTGGCAGAGGAGAGAAAACATGCAGAAGAAGGCAGAACACATTTAGCTGAAAGGATCTGCAAGCTAGAACACAAGTTAGCAGAAGAGGTGGCGAAACGGGAAAGGGGAGAGGCATCTCTAACACATGCGTGTGATGTTTGCTCTGCGGGCACTCATCTCTTGAAGGAGTACTCTTTCGAGGAGCTCCAAGACGCAACTGATAACTTTGACGTAAAGCGGAGGTTTGGTGGTGGGAATCAGTTTGAGAATACTTACCTTGGGACACTAGGAGATGGTAGTCTTGTTACGGTGAGAAAGGTGAGAGATGCAGAGGCACAGCTCGAGACAGAGCTTGTGGACAGGGTGAGAACACTCCGCCATCCCCATCTTCTGACCTTGTTAGGAGTCTGCTACAAAGGGAGCTGCCTCGTTTACGAGCACATGGAGCGCGGGATCTTGAAGAACTGGATCTCACACCATGATGAAGAAAATGCGGCAAGAGGGTTCCTTCCATGGTATTCCCGCTTTCGCGTAATGGCTGAGGTTGCCCGGGGACTGTGCTTCCTGCACTCAGTTCCATCTGCATCGGGTGGACCCATCATACATCGGGCTATCAAGCCAGCAAGCATTTTGCTGTCTGACAGCTTTGTGGCAAAGATCTGTGGTGTGGACGAGGTGATTCTTGATACAGACTCTGCTAGAGGGGTCCAACAGGGGGAGGATCCCCTGGGGGTATCCACAAACAGGGAATCCCGCTATATCGCCCCAGAGTATTTGCATCAAGTTGAACGAGTTCTTAGTGAGAAAATGGATATCTACGCGTTCGGCATCACTGTCTTGGAGATGCTGACTGGAAATCCATCACTGTCTTGGAGATGCTGACTGGAAATCTATCAAACGCATTTGAAGTCGTTGAAGATGCAATTGAGGATCACACCACTTTCAAGAATGCTTTGGATCAAAATGCGGGCTGTTGGGATGTTGAACTGGCTCGCGAGGTGGCAAAGTTGGGGCTACGTTGTGCAAGTTTTAACAGACGCAAAAGGCCAGACATGGTAGAACCTGATGTAGGCATTCTGGCAGTGCTCGAGGGAGTAGCGAGGAAGGTAGACCTTGCACAGTCTGTGGAGGATGGATAGAAAAAAAACTGCAGCAGGTCTTTCAGCTATATGGATTTGCAAATTGCAACCAAAAAAGGGGAATTGGGGTAAGATAACTGAAACGTATAGGCATTGTCTAATGGGATTAGCTCTTCCTGAACACACCGCATGGGATGTGGTTCCATGCCTATGCAAAACAAGAAAAGGTGCAAACTGTATGTTTCTCCTCCTGCTGTCTGANTTAGCTCTTCCTGAACACACCGCATGGGATGTGGTTCCATGCCTATGCAAAACAAGAAAAGGTGCAAACTGTATGTTTCTCCTCCTGCTGTCTGAGATCACTCAGTCTGTCTTTTGTCTGAACTCGTAAGACTAGAGAACATTCATAATTTCACATCAGAACTCGTAAGACTAGAGAACATGGCTTCTGTATGTGGAGTCATGTTTCAGTGTGTCACCATCAATGTTTGCAGGGATAGTGAACAGTACTATGTTGCCCTTTGAATCTCTCTCTCTCTCTCTCTCTCTCTCTCTCTCTCTCTCTCTCTCTCTCTCTCTCTCTCTCTCTCTAGTCTTACTATGTTAGCTCTTCCTGAACACACCGCATGGGATGTGGTTCCATG